TTCCTTCCTTCCTTTTCCTTCATTCTTTCCTTCCTTCCTTCCCTTCCTTCCTTCCTTCCTTCCTTCCTTTTCCTTCTTTCTTTCCTTCCTTCCTTTCCTTCCTTCCTTCCTTCCTTCCTTCCTTCCTTCCTTTCCTTCCTTCCTTCCTTCCTTCCTTCCTTCCTTCCTTCCTTCCTTCCTTCCTTCCTTCCTTCCTTCCTCTGGTTCCCGATTTATCCTCTTTTTTTCTGTTTACCTTTTCTTTTCTCAGAAAGGGAAAAGCAAGGAGGGGAAGAAAGAGGAGAAATCCCACAGAGGAAAGTCCCATGGCAAAGAAAAACTTGCTTCCCCTCAAAGTGAGTGTGAAACATCCAGGCCGTATAATCCATGAATTTTGGGTGGCTCTCCAGAGAAATAAATGAGGGCAGAATTAAGAGTTTGTCCTTCCTTGAGATGATGTTCCAGGCATCACACCAATCACACCAGGGAAGTTGTCCTTGTGTATGTCAGGCTCAAAGGACCAAGAACAACACAAGGAGTTATTTGGGAGTAGTTTCTTTATTGTTGCTCACCTACAGACAGAATCTTGCCAGACTAAAGCAACTACAGGCAGAATCTTGCCAGACTAAAGCAACTATCTGCATAAGTATAAGCAGTGCCTGACTTACATTCACACTTTCTGTTATTGAGACATTTGTTAAGTGAGGTTTGCCCCATTTTATGAACCTTTCTTGCCACAGTTGCTAAGTGAATTGCTGCGGTTGATAAGTCAGCAACCTGGTTGTTAAACGAATCCGGCTTCCCCATTGACGTTCCTTGTCAGGAGGTCGCAAAAGGGACACAGCAACGGTCGTAAGTATGAACCAGTTGCCAAGCCTCTGAATTTTGATCCCGTGACCACGGGGATGCTGCCAAGGCTGTAGTTGTGAAAAATGATCATGTCACTTTTTCCAGAGCCGTTGTAACTTTGGTCATTAAATGAACTGTAGTTAGTCCAGGACTACCTGTAGTGTGGAAAGGCATCGCGACTCTGCATTTATTTTTTTCCCAACATAATTGGAGGCTTTCCCCACTCTTAAAGGCAAAGAAAGCACTGTTTGATTATTTATTAGTTCTGTGTTTTTTTTCTTTCAGGCGTAACTGTGAATGTCGTGTTTTCTCCCATACCGGAAGAGAAAGAAGCAGTCATTGGACCTCCACCCGTCTTAGAAAAGGAGAAGGATAAAAGTAGTCCAATGAAGGAATTAGCAGGTGTGAGGTTTGCAAGGTGTTTTTGGAAACAAAGGCAATATCACAATTCTGGCTGCCTTTTTTTCCTGCAAGGTTTAATCAGTTGACTTTTTAAGGTGTGAGTGATTAAAAGAAGTAAATATCTTTTCATGTTAGCTTATGAAACTGATTTAATCTAGGATGGATGGATGGATGGATGGATGGATGGATGGATGGATGGATAGATGGATAGATAGATAGATAGATAGATAGATAGATAGATAGATGATAAATGGATAGATAGATGATAGATGGATAGATGATAGATAGATATAGGTAGATAGAATAGAATAAGAATAGAATAGAATAGAATAGAATAGAATAGAATAGAATAGAATAGAATAGAATAGAATTCTTTATTGGCCAAGTGTGATTGGACACACAAGGAATTTGTCTTGGCGCAAATGCTCTCAGGGTATATAAAAAGAAAAGATACATTCGTCAAGAGTCATAAGACCCAACACTTAATGATAGTCACAGGGTACAATAAGCCATCAAATCCTACTAGGAAACTGTCAATATAAATCATAAGGATACAAGCGACAACGTTACAGTCCTACAGTCACAAGTGGGAGGGGATGGGTGATAAGGAGTGATGAGAAGATTAATAGCAATAATAGTGCTGACTTTGTAAATAATTGGACAGTGTTGAGGGAATTATTTGTGTAGCAGAGTGATGGCATTCAGGAAGAAAACTGTCCTTGTGTCTAGTTCTGGTGTGCAATGCTCAGAGAGAGAGAAATGTAGATATAAAATTTCTGGATTTGCCTGTGTTTCGTCTAAAGCAACACATTTTTTTTAATTTTAATTCCAAAATTCCCCCTTTGAAATGGACTTTCCAGACTGTACAATTAGACAGTCAGAAATATTACATTGGATAAATGGGTATTTTCTGCAAGTATCCATGTTCTCACTGGAGGGCGGTAAAGGAACACCAGAGGATAGTAGAAGCTTCTCTTCCTGAGCTATGCAGGGTGCATCATTAAAAGGATGCACAGATCAGATCAGGACGACCTTCCCGCTACCGTTTATTTTGTTGATTCTTTTCCAGAAAAGCTCGAAAAAGAGAAAAACAAGGAAAAAGACAAGCTGAATCTCTGGATGAGCCAGATGTACATTTTCTTTGTCAAAAAGTTTTTTGCCAGCTACAAGAATTGGCAGGTGGTGAACGAAACCATCGTCGATAACAGAGCTCGGGAAGCTGAACTCTTAATCCTGAGGAAAAAACAAGAGGAGGAAGAAGAGGCCAAGTAAGCCAACGTGGTTTGTTCACACGGAATAACGGTGGGTTGGGGGATCTGAATGTAGCCAAGGGGATGACTGCAACCTGAAAGGTCTCTATCCGTGGTCCAAGTTGGGTTGATTTGGATCAAAGCTGCAGCACGAGGTATCAAGACTCCGGTAGTTACCCCCATTTAAATCATGAGTCTCCAGCCGGATTTTCAAACTTAAAGATGATTTATTAGGAGTAAACATGCCGGCGTTGCCTGGGTGTAGCCGACTCTGAGGCACATCATTCATTGTGACCCTTGACCCTGGTTTTCCCCCCTCACCCCCTGGGTGTATCGTAATTCATATTCTCCAATGGGACACATCCATAGCCGAGAGTCATCCATCATGGTCTCCAATTAGAATTTTGCTTGGCAGAAACTTCGGTGCCAGAAGTGGCACACAGAGCCATTTGTGCCGGCACGTGAGCTGTAGGCAAGCTTACCTTACTACACAGGCGCGTCCCTCAGAGCTGATTTTTCGGCTGGTTTGAGGCCTTTTTCGGCCTCCAAGAGGCTTGGAAAAAGCCTCTGCAAGGCTTTTCAGGACGAACAATAGGCCCGTTTTGTCACTTCTTGTAATACCGGAAGTGACGAAACAGGCCTATTGTTCGTCCTGAAAAGCCTTGCAGAGGCTTTTTCCAAGCCTCTGGGAGGCCGAAAAAGGCCTCAAACCAGCCGAAAAATTAGCTCTGAGGCACAGTGCAGGTAAGGGGGTAGTAAGTGGAGGTGGAGATTGCATACACATGCGCAGGGGGCACAGGGGTGGGCAAATTGTATTCTGGATGCTGGCACATGAGTGCGCACAATTTTTGGCACAGGAGCCCAAAAAAGGTTAGCCACCGCTGGGTTGAGGAATCCCACCGCTGGTTTAAAGAGCCTGACAGATCTTTCCTTTCGGTTGGACAGGCTCAAGGCACTGAAAGAGGCTGAGGAGGCCCGAAAATTAGAAGAAGCGGCCGCTGAGAAAGCAGCCTTGGAACTGGAAGAAAATCTGACTCGGGAAATGGAGGAAAATCTAAGCCAGGCCCAATCCCCCCCGAAGGAGGACTCCCCAACATTGGTTCAGAGCACAGCCGGCAGCAAGGCAGTCGTCGCAGGGAAGAAGAAGAAGAAGTGAGACGGGGCCACCCACGGCCACCGTTACAGACAGTTCTCGGCCTACAACCGCCACGGAGCCTGGCATTTGTCGCCAAGTGAGACAGTAGTTGAGCTGAACTTTGCCCCCCTTTTGCGACCTTTCTCGCCACGCGTTCTGAAGCAAATCACTGCTGCGCCCGTTAAGTTAGTAACGCGGTTGTAAAACAAACCAGGCTTGTCCAAAGGTCACAAAAAAGAACGACGACTCCGGGACGCTGCAACTGTCGTTAAGTACATGCCAGTTGCCAAGCTGATGGATTCTGATCACGAGACCGTGAGGATGTTACGACGAGGTCATGAAAAAGTCACCAGTCCCTTTGCCGTATGTCCGTTTAGTGACCGTTTGGAGTTACAGTCACTGAACTGTTTTTCACGCTAACAGCCGTTGCAGCGTCCCCAGGGTCACATTATCTAAATCCAGACTCTTGGCCACCAGTTCATATTTATGACACTTGCCATAACCCAGAGTCACCTGATCTCCCTTTTTGCAACCTCCCGACAAGCAAAATCCGTGGGGAAGCCAGATTCCCTTCACAACCATGTGGCTAACTTAACAACTGCAGTGGTTCACTTAACAACGGTGGCAAGAAAGGTCGTAAAATGGGGCAGAACTCCCTTCAGAAACGTCTCATTCAATGACAAGAAATGGTGGGCTCCGTCGTGGTCACGAGCCAAGGACGATTTACAGGCCCTCAAAACATTCGCAAGGCAAATAGCTGCCTATAAAACCAGCTTATTTTATTAACAAAGAGCACGAAAGAGGATTAAAGTGGTAACAATTCAGTTTTATTTTTCCAGTAAAGTCAAGTTTCCGCCGTGACTGAGACAAGGAACGACACGGGTTTCCTTCTGTCCAAATTTAATCCAGTTGAACATAAATATACTTTAAAATCTTTAAAAAAGACACACACAACGGTTTGCTCCGAGAGGACGTGGTTTTTGTAGAAAGTGAGATTCTGAGAAAGCAAGTATTGCTTTACTATTGCCATTAGGCCAGTCAGTAATACGACTCGACTGACTGGTCCCAGTAAACAAATGACACCTCTTTTAGGGGTCCTGAATCCGTCTTCAAAGAATGAGAGCTGCAGCTGATCAATCCAAGAAGAAAATATTGTTGAACTGGGTTGCACAAAGTTTCTTTACTTCTTCTGAAGAGGAGAAAGGAGTTGTAAGCTGTTACACTACACATTGATGGAATCAAAATGCAAATTCTAGGCCTGCCTCACTCACACCTGCCTTTCCTTCTCTTTCTTCTGCCTCAAAACCTACAGCCACCTCCTCATGGCTCTTCCCCCCCGCTTCACAATGATGGTTCTAGATTAAAAAGGGTGCCAAAACAGGCGAACGATTCGTATTTCCCAGTGAGATTAAAGCCGTATACAATTTCGGAGAGTACCTTACCGTTCACTTCAATCAGGTTGGCGTTCTTCTGATTCAAAATAACGTACAGTTCCCGCTGATCCGACTTCTTGCCGACAATCCAGTAGTCGCTCATGGCTTTCACAATGATTTCTTCATCATCCTCCACCCTTCAAAAGAGGAAGAGGAGGAGATCAGATTCTGATAAAAGAAAATATCTGTAGCTCAGCATTAAAGTGAGGGATCCTTGGTGGCCTCTGAGCCTGGTTGTTTTCTTGCAGACGTTTCATTACCCAACTAGGTAACATCATCAGTGCTAGAAGGAAGTGGAGTTGGTGGGGAGGAGGAGGACGAGGAGGAGGAGGAGGAGGACTGTGAAGTCCTTGGTGCTCTCTGAGTTTGGTTGTTCTCGTGTAGATGTTTCGTTACCCAACTAGATAACTTCAGTACAAGTACTGATGATGTTACCTAGTTTGGGTAATGAAATATCTGGCAAGAAAACAATCAAGGTCAGAGATCCATTTCCAGAAGTATGGAAAACTCAATTAGAAATAAAGTCAGGAGGGAAAAATTGAAAAAAAAAATAAATCATCTAATCAACTGAGGATTAAACAAAAATGTCCACAACCATTTTCTTAGAAACTAAGTGGTTTGTCCTTCCCTTTTCCCTCTGTGGTATCTGTGTCTGTCTGTCTGTCTGTCTGTCTTAACTTCCCAGTCCAATCTACCTCAGACTTTGTGGTCTTCAACCAAATACTACACACAGCTTGTTCAAGAACAATGTAGGTCAGACAGATTGTGAGCCAATCCTAAATACACCAAGGCTTAAATATCCCCTGAAGAAGCAAGCTTTGATTTTTGCTCAGTCCCACATTTAGGGATAAAAACTGCAGTTTTCAACGTTTTGGGCATTCACACACAAAGTAACTGCCCTGATGTGTGTGACACAGTAAAAAACAACAACACCCATATACAAGAAGACTAACCAACAAACAGACCCCAATTTTATTTCGTGGAAAAGTATCCAGGATGTTCTTGATGCCCGCTGGCGTTGTTGGAGGTGCCAATTCCACTTAAAAGAGGCTTAAGATAAAGTCATGAACAAACATGGGTCAAAAATGGACGTATTATTCATCCTGTCATCTGAAACGATAAGGAGAGCGATAAATAGTTAGTGGGGGACAAGAAGGCAGATCACCTCGTAAAATCGTTGTTGATATCGCCAAGGATCTTCATCAAGTCAGGATGGACGGATGTGAGGGAGAAGCTGGACGTTCTCCTCAGATGGATGGTGCTCTTCTCAGCCAGATTCATATGATTGAAGTAGATAAATTTAAACTGAGGCTCCTTCTCGGACCTAAGAAAGAGAGGAACGGAGAGATCAAAGGAGGCACCAGAACTCTTTCCGAGAACAGGACGGAGGTACCTTTCAGGTATATCAGAACTCCTAGTAATTGGTTCATCTATCAACCTGAGGTGGGGATGAAGCCAAGCCCACCGTCGATGGCTTGATTTGTTCAGAGTGCTGAACCCTGGTGCTTTTTCAAGGGGCAACTGGAATTTTCTGGTTTTTCTTTGGAGATGTTTCACTTCTCATCCAAGAAGCTTCTTCAGCTCCGACTGGATGGTGAGGAATGGAAGGATTTCTACTCCTTTTGCAGACAGCTGGTCGTTTGCATCCTTTCTATTGAGTCATTGAGGCCACTTGGTGGTTTATCTGTGTCCTCACGATCACCTCAGTAGTGCAAATGTCCCTGCGGTCTGCAATATTTCTCTGGAAATCCCATTCATACTCCCACACCATTTGAAAGATGTTCATCCCAAACTCTTCCCACCCACCTCAAATTTTTTTTTTTAAAGGAACTGACCCAGATATCCTTTTCTTGAGGTTGTATTGTTCGCAGATATCCGAAGCTAAGACAGTAAGTTGAGGGCCCACCAGGCCATCGAGTCGGCGGCAGAAATCCAACGTAGGTTGCACAGAGGCTGGGAAAGATTTAGGGGTTGAGGAGGGGGGGGAGGAAGGGGAGAAGAAAGGTGAGAATTGCCCCACCTGGAGCACAGGTGGCAGATCCACAGGGCACAGAGGAAAGGTTCCAGGCCTGAGGGTGACACATGCCCAAGGCAGGGCTGCAAGGCCCGGACACACAAAGGGACCGGTTTCCATAAACGTTGAGGTGCCGAGATTTGGACTTCACAAAATTACGTGCCAAAAGGTAAAGAATCTGAAAGGCGCTAGTCAGATCTGAGTTCTCAATACTTCCAGAAAAGGCAGAGCATTTTTTTAAAATAATCACCTTGTTCCTCTGCTCCCAAATTAGAAAGCAAGTAGACCTGCTTGAAGGTAATTTGAGTATGAACATTTGCGATAGGGCAGGCGGTTGATCAGGGTGGGATACAAAACAAACACAGTCACAGAAAACAGGTGAAGCCCCTTTTATTCCCTCACTTTGCTTCCAAGCTCCGAATATCTTTGACGGAAGACAAAAAAACCCACAAACAGTTACATGAAGAAGGAATAAAGCAATGCAAACCAGGCAAGATAAGGGCTGGAGGATGTCCACAGATAACCCACACTGGGAAGGACGCCAAACTCAGAGAGGAACTATAAACTAGAGATATTGACAAGCTTTGTTTCCAGCGTTTGCCAGTACGCAGATCCATCCTCTTATTCAGTTGTCACAGCTGCAGCCCATGAAGGGGATCAAGGCCCTTTCCTCCTGAGCAGACCAGTCTGTTCCTTATCCTCTCCTCCCCAGGATGGAGAGGGGATGGGCCTGGGTCCTTCTCTGACTGCCCAGCCGGCCTCTGCCCTTCCCCAGCCTCCTCCACAACCTCTGGAGTCACCCTTCTACTCCCTGTCGGCTGTTCCTCCTCTCCCTTGGAATCAGTCTCCAACAGGGGCATGGCACAGGGAGAGGATAGTAAGAGTCTCAGAGCCACAATGTGGGGAGAGATATTTATGTACGTGTTAAGATTTTCATCCCACCTTTATTATTTTTATAAGCAACCCAAGGCAATGAAGATAGCCAATAATTGTCCTTCGTCCTCTTATTTTTCCCGTAGCAACAACCCTGCGAGATGGGTGAGGCTGAGAAAGAGAGGGACTGTCCCAAAGTTACCCAGTTGGCTTTCATGCCTAAGGCGGGACTAGAATTCACAGCTTCCCGGTAATCGGCTCAAAATCACCCAGTCAGCTTTCATAGCTAACGTGGGACTAGAACTCACCGTCTCCTGGTGATTGGGTCAAAGTCACTCAGCCGGCTTTCGTGCCTAAGGTGAGATTGGAACTCACCGCCTTCTGGTGATTGGCCCAAAATCACCCAACCGGCTTTCATGCCTAAGGTGGAACTAGAACTCACAGACACCTGGTTTCTAGGCCAGCATCCTAAGTACTACACCAAACTGGCACATGTAATAGAGATTGGGCCAGGCCTTGCTACTAGTTGGGCCCAGGGATTTTATTTGATTCGTTCAGGGGTGGAATATTTCCCTCAAAACTTTTGTCAGGGCTATTTTAGGATTGATGCTACAGTTCCTGCATTGCTAAGTACAAAGAAATAGGAAAAAGCATTCTAGTTTTGACCATCACAGCACCATTTGTCTAAACCCCAGTTTAGACAAATCTTTACTCTGTTCTTGAAGTTTTATTATTTGATGACTTGCTG